AAACTAGGCAGCCCTTGTTACATGTTTACCTTGTGGCCTATGTCTCTTTGTTTTTTGTGAAACCTATAAAAATGGGTCCTAGAATTACCAAGAAACGGTAAAACTAAATCCATGTTTGGCATTTGAAGTCCATTTCAATCCTTACTTATGTCCTTTTCAAGCTTACAAAACTGTTGAAAATTTAATAAGAAGCTTTTGTGCTAAGATAATCTTGGACAGATTAAAGTAATGACATGGTAACTGTAATTTGATAACCAAAAGTATTGACAGTTGTAATTAAAGAAGCAATGTGAGCTACCTAGCATGGTAGTGGTTAAAACAAGACAAACTGTTATTAACCACTTGCTGTCCGTGTCAGTGTTGCCTCCAATAAAGCAAAGGGAAAAATATTGGCGGCAATCACAATGCAGCCCAACCGTGAGATCCCATTTGCCTTTACCAGAGCGCACTAGGAAAATGACAGTACGGTTGGGTCGGTAGTGCGGGATCTGCAATGTGACTGTCAGTGACAAGTTTGTCAGCTATAGTTGTCCCACCAAGCAGATGTTAACACGTCGGCAGAACGTACTGCACCTGCGTGAAACCGTAATGTATTGTGCATATAGCATTTTGGCAGAATGTCTCCATATAAGATCGTATTCACACATATAATGTCAACATACCGTCTGTAGTTTCTAAATGACATGTTGGAAAAGATAGCGTCTGCAACAAGCAAAATTCTGATGCAACCTTGAAAATCCAACGTAAACCTTGAAAAATGAGGGTTTTGCACAGGCGCATTACGTTCTGCCGACGTGCTGCAGATGTTGCGGTACATCTGTGAGTTACAGAGACGGGGCGTTTTGTTGCCGTGTCGTGATGTTGAAGGATGTAGCATGTTTTATTTTTTATTTATTTTTAGTACATGTACAGGATATAGTTTGTGTATACCATATCTCTTACTGGATTTTCTATTGTCGTGACCAAACCAAACTCTTCAAATGTCTAGAAATGCCACCAAAAATACCAAAATTAACATGTGCACATTGCAGCTTCCATTTTTCAACACTAGAATGAAGCTTTAAGACAGATTGTCAACCTTGGTGGCCTGCACACTTTTTAAGCAAAACAGATAATATGTTATGAATATGATTGATTGTCTTGTAGACAATCCCTGAAGTAGTATTTTCTGAACAAATACATACCATGAATGTACTGGAATAACACATATGACATGTCAGCCAATGTTGCTGAACCCGCGTGCTGTGCTTTTTGCCACTTGGTGTTGATGTAGAGGCATATCAGTGGCCTTGCCGGCGGTGGAAGATGTGTCGCGTTTCTTCAAAGTTTTCCAGCGCGTCACGTTCCCATTATCGGCCCCCTGGTCCGCCCATAAATCATTCCCAAAGGTCATAAGAATGCTGGTTCCCAGGGGCCCTGGCATACAAATCTGCAGCCCTCAGTCAAAGGGACGCATTAATATTTCTTAAGAAGTTGTCACGAAGGACTTAGTTCCCTGGGAGCCACCATTTATCAAAGAAGAAGTTCCTTTGTCTCTCAGTGATTGTAGCGATAATGGTTGGCTTTGATTTGCTATTATTATTGTACCTCGGGGACTGTGGAAGTAGCCTTGGTTACTTTCGAACCGGTAATGTTTCAGAACGTCCTTCCCACACACACTCCGCTTCTGTCTGCTGTTAACAAGACGGCCAGCTCAAGTTACCAATCAGAGCTGCTTTTAATCAACGGTATCAGCCATGTAAAGTGATAGCTGGAGTTTTGGAAGATTTAATTGGTCCCTTGCTACTCGGTGTTGGCAAGGCTGTGGTCTGTTCATCGATCAGCCTAAGCAAAGGCACCAGGCAGGAGACACTTCTGAAGCCCTGGGAGTGCCGGGTGAGACACCCACAGAAATGTTAAACCTTTTCTGGACTGGCCTTGGCCTCAATAGACACTTGGAGACCAATTAAAGTTCTCTGTGAATGACAGTGTGATGTAGCATGTGTTCGTGGTCTAATGGACCAAGTGTTTGCAATATGCACTTGAGCATTCTGACGTCCTACAGACAGTTGCTAGGATATGTGTTCAGGATAGGAGAGCCAATGTAATGTAGCAGTCTGATGGCCAAATGCTTATCGTCATTATGGAAAGCTTCTAGAATGTCCTGTATCAGGCAGTATTAGCATGTCAGTATTCGTTAAAAGATTACTTTTTCAGCTGGTTTCCCCCGAAACGTAATCTTAGCTTGAGGTACAAATTTCGCCTTAACATCTACATGCGTGAGCACTAAAGATTTTGGCTTCTTTGGTCTGGATATATTTTCCAGAAATAGGTCTGCCAGGAGCAATAGGTCATCCTTGCTTTTAAGTCTTTGTTAGGTAATGGCTATGGATTAGGTGTCGGGCTAGTGGAAAGGCCAAAGATTGAGAGAGGATCGTATTAATCTTCTTATGCAGATGTGTTCAGAACCCCACATGGTGTCAGAAGGCCAGGGTTATGTTTCTTACCAGGCTGCACTTCTCATGAAGACGTAATCCGGGTAAATTACCACTCACGGCAGGGTTGTCTTACCATCGTGTCCGCAACGTTTCTGTATTGTGTGTGCAGGAGAATGAACTAAAGGTGGGGTAGTGCTGTTACAAAGGATCGCTGACTCGGCACTGCCCTCGGTGCTGAAATCCTGGCTACTGTTGTATTCATATTGGTGCTGCTTTCCATCAAACTGTTATCTTAGTTCTGACTCACAATTGAAGAACAGGCAAGACTAGGTATTTGGTTATATATTAGAAGAGAAGATTATGGAAGGCAACCAAGTATAAAGTGGTGGGTTTAGCTACAGACACAATCAGGTCCACAATCTAATTGCTCACATTGAAGGAAGGATTTAAGAAAGTTTTCTTCCCAGAGGGTTCTTTTATTATTACTTGGAGGGGATTATGTTAGCCCAGATTGTGTTTCCGTACCTGAAGGCACTAAAAGATTGTCATAAGGAACCCCTAAGCAGATCCCCAGGCAGTCGTTGAAATGTTTGCTCTGGGGCTTTTCTTCCATTTTCGGAGAATTGATAGGTATTATGGGGGGATATTAGGATGCAAAGGGTGAAGCTGGTTTATTTCTTACGGCCTCTATTGAATGATGATCACAGCATAACAGGCCGGACGAGGATTTCACCATAAATTTCCGCCCAGTTTGTGATTACTTAAAAGCTCAACCCAAGGCAATCTCTTCCTAGGTACAGGTCATACATAGATTACAGTGCAAATAAGGTTATAAATTCTGCTAATGTGAATTTGGGGAATCATCTGATCTAGGGTATAGGCTGTGCGATACAACCCATAAAATCCAGCTCCCCGGTCCTCACAAGATATGAGTTGAAGTTGTAGGGAGGCCGTATTTCTGAAGCGAGACGTCGCGCCATCAATTTTTCTGGACACATTTACACACTAGCAACAGTTGATAAAGCAAGTGATCCATTACACCAAGTGTTGGATTTCAGTTGAGTGACATGTTAATGTGGTCATCATGTGTGTGTCTACTGTATCTGGGAGAAAATGGCTTCCTGGTATCTCTTGATACCCCAAGTAAGTCTGCAGAAGTGAGATCTAGTCCTTCAGATATTTTGCTTGACAGGCAAATTTACCAAAGCTGTGTTGCGAGTGGTGCCCCGGTTCCTGATGAAGAATTAGGTTGAGTACAGTGGGTAATGTGCCATTTCTCAAGTTAAAACACCCCACCTGGACCCATTTCTATTGCCCCTAATCAGCCATCTGAAAGAGCAACCCAGTCAAGAGTGTGAAGCTCATTAAAGCGAAACCCTCTTGGCAAAGGAGGGTCAAGAGTGTTGGGCTGTCTATCACAGCGATACATTTAGAGGCCAGACTGGTGACATATATATGGCATATAGAAAAAGGAACATTATTTGTATATGTATGCCATGGATAAGGAGGTTCAAGCCCTGCTAGGGTACGGTGTGAAGGGTTGCATTAAATCTTATGCATGGTGACTTGCAGTGGATGAGTTTCAGCTGTGAGCCATGTAAATTCAAAATACTGACCAACAAGAGCATGGGGTGACCTGTGTGCTTGGCTGAAAAACTTGAGGCACACCGGGGCCACTTTGCACTACTAGCTGTCAAAAACGTGCTAGGCTTTGCATCAGTTTGAGATTGGTCGCTTTACCTCTTCCAATATACGCGCAGACTAGTCCACACTCAACAAAACCCCAGGCATTTGACTCAGAGCACAAGCAATCCTGCGGGAGGTAAAAAGTTGGGAGACACATTACACCTGGAATATACCAAAGTGTCATACTGGGATTGATGTGCATGGTTCATTGCTGACAAACTGGGAAACAGGCCCAATCTCCTCCTCACACATTTTTTACAGCCTCTCACATCTAACTTTTATAGAATTTCCAATAAAGTTGGTAAATTTACTTCTCCACGCAATCATCCCATGGTGATGTTTTCATTTCGCAGATAGTCTGCTCACTTAGCGAGAAAAGCCCCACTGTGCTTTGGTATATGAAGTGCTGCACTGAAACGTGTCCAGAAGCTTTATCTGTTGGCTGTGATCATGGCAATGTTATAAACAAAGCCTGGAAATGCATGTTGTTACAGTATTTTCATATAACTAACATAATAAGATTATAATGTTGTAGATACTGTTTTCCAGAAAATTTATATATGCATGTTGCTTTGAAAAATGTCTTTTAAGGAAAAAATTAAATATCTTGAAAGCCCTTAATGTCAATATAGATCTTGCTGTTATTCATATGTATTGATACAAATGAATACAAGCTTGTTCAACACTGTTTCAAGACAAACTGGTAGATGAAGATATATTTGCTGCATATCCAACTGTTGCATGTTTGTTTGTGTTTTTGTATATAAATTTGCATGTTTGTAATGGTACAACCGTTCCCTATAAGCCCATACTGTTGACATATCGTAGCATGTTGCATGTGAAGTCTTATCCTTGGTGTCGCTGCTCCTAACGCAGCATTCCCTCTGATCTCTGCAGGAAAATGTTCGTGGGCGGTCTGAGCTGGGAGACAACAGAGAGTGAGTACCCGTTTTCTTCATTCACACTTTTAGGCCTAGGAAAGAAAATAATGTGTTTCCTGTTTCTTGACCGACCCTAGAAAAACTGCCGACCCTAGCCTTTTTTTGAGTGGACCCCTGCAAGGGACAAAAAGTTTTCAAGCTGATCAACTTTTGTAGCTCTCATGATCTGACACCTGAATGCTGAAACATTGTACAATCAGTTTTCCAGTACTGACATGGAAAATATTAAGTTTCCTGATGCAGGTTTCACTTTTTTAAACTTTGTTCTATATAGTTGGATCACTAGCTAGAGATCGCCAAAATCTGATTTTGAAAGAATGAAAAAAAATAAAAGATAATCCCTACCTACTGACCCTAATTTTTTCAGGACTGAAATAGGAAACACAACTTTTTTTTCCTAGGCCTCGTCGTCCCATAAGTTAGGTCACAGTTTCAACTGCGCATGTGTGATCAAATCGTCCCACTTAAGATTCGGAGTAAACCAAACCGTCACAGGTGCTGTGGGTTTGGCACTGTTCCTCGTAGACAGGTTTAGTAGACTGAGGTTTTAGTGGTTTGCATCGGAGAATGGGATTTGGAGATTGATTGGAGCCGTGTGGACCTGTGATTAGAGCAGGTAACTTTGTTGCTCCCACCAAGAAGGTCCTCCCTACAGTCTTGATTAGATTGAGCGCTGATCAATACTGTCTGTTAATCACAGTCCGCCACGAGGGGAATCAGGCCAGTGGAATTTCATTCCAGTCCGGATCAATTGCCTCTGCCCGGTACCTTAGATGACACTGTTATCCTCTTGAAGAAAGTGTGTCCTCCTTCAGAGAGGGTCCTGCCTTGTGATTAAAGCGAAGACAGATCGCGGAGGCTTACCGTGTGCTACAATTACGCTACCTTCTCCCCTTAGTAGGATTAGCCGCAGCTGTGATCAACAGCTTCCTTAACTTGAACTGTAGTTCTCGGAACGGAAAAGGTTGTCCGGCGGGAAGCGCCTTACTTCCTCCATATTAATTACTTTTGAGATACGGTAAATCGGTTAAACTTTGCAGTAGGAAGGGAGAGAAGGTTTGAAACATTAGTTCAGTGATAAGACAGAGCACATGTTCACAGTGTAATGCTCTTACTGCAAAAACCACAACGACTTACAGTATAGTGAACTTCAAGTTCAACAGTCCACTGAAAACACAATTTAACCTGTGCACATGTAAACTAATTTCTCCTTGTTAGACCTTAATCTGTGTATAAAATTATATAATTTGTAGCTTTATTTCATTGGATCAATTCATTTGCCTGTTCCTCATGTCTAATGTCAAATTGCTGGTAGCAGATTTACTATACATTAGACTGTCCTCATAGGGAATTTGCTGTACTGAATAGAATACTAAAATGGTAATGTTGTGTAAAGTTTTTATACTATCCTTGCTATATTGATTAAATGTCTGATGTCTTATTTCTTATCTCTAACAGAGGACCTGAAGGACTACTTTGCACAGTACGGAGATATCGAAGACTGCACGATCAAGATCGACCCTGTCACGGGGAGGTCACGCGGCTTCGGATTCATCCTGTTTTCCAAGGCGGAGAGTGTGGAAAAGGTGGGAGCCTCGCTGTTGTCTGTCGCTTGTGTGTCATGACACAAAGATCTCTTTGGAGTAGATGGCTAGTCATTGGGAGGCACTTCTGAAGTCCAAAGGTAGATCTGAAAGACATGTATTGGAAAATCACAATCATCCTTTCACACATGTTGGACAGAAACAAAGAATTGCCACCCATCCCTTGCAGAGTTGTCAAAGTAAAATAGATTTATTTCACCACAACAGTACAAAAGATATTGACAAGTAGGATTGCACCCAAGACCCATGGAACCTAACCACTGCTACCTATAGGCTATTGGAAGTATTGTTTTGGGTGGCCTGGCCGTGGGTTTGTCTCTCTGTACTAACTGATTCGTTCAGATGGTGGGTGGGAGGTGATTTTGACAGCTTATTGACAAGAGTCAAGCCTGAAGGTGACCCAGGATGTGAATATGGAAAACTTGTGTGGTGCAATAAAAGTGGTGCAATACCCGATTAAATTACATCTTACAATCCACAGTCCCCTTTATATTCACGAATACCCAAACCACTTTACGAAGGTCTGAAATCTCTAATTGTACAGCCAGCATTGCATGCAGGGATGGCGGGCGTTACTCGCGCTGAGAGACAGTGGAGTGTTCTGAACGTGACAGGAGACTAATGGAGAAGTAGTCAAGTGTTGCGAGGTCATCAATTACTAAGCAGACTTTGCACAAAAAGCAGCTCAAAGTCTTGGTTCAAGGGCTATCCGCTTTGCCAAAGAGATAGCCATTAGAGATAGACAGGGCCAGGACTGAGTATTAGCTGTGGCAAGGATGAAGCGGTTTGGAAGTAAAGCAGCCACACATTGGCAAAACACTTCAATCATTGTTAGAGTCAGGGATATGCTATTTAGAACGGCCATCCAGCAAACTTAAAATTGTGTCCGGGGGGTGTTGAAATAATGGTGTTCACTGTACACGGGTTAAATTTGCATAGCCTTGTATCCATCTTATTCTGGCTCCTTTCATGACTTCTCTGCAAAATTGCTTGGCACTCATTGATAAAGATTAACATTTGAACACAATGTAGTTGGGCCTATAATGTAGATGAGAGGTTGGCTCTAACTTCTAAGTCACATGGTCTTAATAACAGGGTTGGAACAGGCATTTGCAAGTTTGACGTATGTTCCACTGCATCTGAGAAATATTTTTCCCCGGAATAATGCAGGATATAAGGACTAAATGTTTCAATAGGGACAGGATACAGACTGTTCTACATGGAAGCGATCATTGGAGCAAACTGGCACCAGAATAGTATAGGATGGATTGCAGGCAGAAACATGTATGTCTCAAGAAAAATTTGCTTCAAGAAAAGGCCGCCCGAACCAAGATGGCTAGCTGTTAGTAAATATTCTCAGTCTTGTGTCCATAACAAGGTTCATTTCAGCAGGTGAATTTGTCAGGATAGATAAGATGAAAGCTGGGCTGATTTCCCTTGATAATTAATCCATCAAATCCTGCTTACCTTTCAGCAAGGAAGAGACCAGTGAGATGTGAATGTAGATAGAGGGCTGCAGTGGCAGCGAGTTCATTGGTGTGTTCTCTGTTGCATGTTATCTAACGTGTTCAGGCAGAGATAGATGTGTAGATTGCCGAAACACCCCTAGGCTACGGTATAATGTAGGTTTGAAAAATACTCTTGGAGAGAAGTACAAACCACACAAATCTTCCACATAAAACAGCCAGACTGTCTGCATGGAAAGTAACTTATGATAGCGCCCACCATTGTGATAAATCTTCCGTAGTATCCGGCCAGTGGAAGGGCTTTTGTGTCCCTTTGATGTGAGGAGGGAAATGGATCTTACTTCAGAGGATCAGGTCCAAAAGACTGACTCTTAGAAGGCTGTGTGCTCGGTGATGGCGACCTTCCTTGCCTAATGACCTGTTCCAAACATGCGAGCTCTAGGGAGATGCACGGACATGGGGCTCTGACAAATATGCAGAAAATGAATGATAAGACAGCAAGGTGGCGGCAGGGCAAGGTATTGGGCGCAATAAAAGTTAACATATGAAGGGGGTGCTTTGAAGGGCAAACAGGCCGAAAGAAATTACGGCAGTTATGCAGGGAGGCGATCTGTACAGAGGGTACGTGCAGATGATTTATGGGCCCCCAAACGGCACAGCAAAGCGGAAAAGTTCTTCTTTACACCCACCCCTCTTCCAGGTTAATGGAGAGAGTTTTGTAGTGCTCTCATTGGGAGTTATATTCATCCGGCATGCGCAAATGGAGGGAAATTGCCTGTGTGCGGGCGCAAAGCTCCTTACGGAATACCGGGAATGATATCACAATTTACACTGTAAAGGAATAAACCGGTTTTATTTCCCCGTCCTTAATGGACGCTCCAAATTGAAAATGAGAAGATGTATGGGGGGAGGCCTATCAGGATGATGGCTGTTGTTGTGATTGCTACAGTCCCGCCATAGTTATCGGGAAAGGATTAACAAGGGTGCTATGAAAATGAGATCCTTTGCCGGAGGACAGTATGGCTTCCCTAATGGATGTGGATGGCTCAGGGCGAGAGCAGACTTGAGAGCCGCGGCAGTAAGTAATAGTTCCCAGGTTCTTCATCACGGGTGAAAAATGGAGCCATCGGGGAAGAGGAATCATGTTGGGATCAGATCTGTTACAAGACTAATGTTCTTCACCACCTCCAGTAAGGGTTATACTGAACCTGGGATCGAAATGGTTGGTGCATCTGTGCTCCCAGAATTGGGAGCTGTGCACCTAGTATTTGACTGTGGGTACACTTTGATATTTGTGCAGGGTTATGTACTATTGTACACAATATAGCATTTTCTTGATTTGAGAATAATGAAAAAATAACGATGAATATTTAAACCTTTGTTGTATCACTTTAGTATTTCAAATTCAAGATCTGAAAACAAGCAGAAATCGGGTTTTTCTGACATCTTACTTTATTTTATGTTGTGCACCCAAAGTTTTTTCCTGTGCACCTAAATTTTGAGGTTAGATGCCAAAATGAATTTCAAGCCCAGTGATTTAGATCTTGGCATCAAAATGTGGTTCAGCACTGTTATCACCTAGGCTATAGATACGATCTAGCTAAAAAACAACAACCCTCAAACCAGAATAATTTTCCCATTGAATGTTTTTCTTGAGTGAAATGTGCCTTAATTTTGTGCACATAGCCCCCAGATGAGTTAAGATGTGCATCCACATCACATAGTCCAGTGACCTACATTTCAAATTTGATTATAAACAAAACACTAGGCAAGGTAGTTTCCTTCATTACGATTTCACATGCTTCTGTCTTCCATACTTAATTTTTGGCTACACCTCATGGGGCTTGTAAAGAAAAAAAGACAAAAAATTAACTATGTAGCCAGAATGAAATCACTTCTTATTTGAACTCAGTGTACCCAAGATAAGCCAGTGTAAACCTTTTTGAATTACACCTTTTGAAAGAGAAAAGAGCATCCAGTTTACAAACTAACAAAGTAAGCAAAGGGAACAAAGTTATACTTGGCAGACTTGTAAATTGAAGCCCTGCCCATTTTTGGGTCATCTGTCATGTGACTTTTTCATGGAGTAGTCATTTTCCCTGATAAAGCTGAGAGTTGTCCCAAAAACTACCCAGATGTGACACAGAAAGATCAGTTAGGACTGCTTCAATGGAAAGCAGATGACATTATCTACTCAATCAGTGCTATTTTCATTTCTTTTAAATGGCACATCTGGGTCATATCTTGTCAGTATAGCCTGAATTGCTATGTGATGAGGTGAGTTAATATGAAACAGCCATTTTTCACCCTGCTGCAGTAATTGTACTTTATATTGCCCCGTTATGAAAGTTCTGCAGGCAATATTTTTCAATAAATCCACTCCATTACTTGGTATACCCCAGCCTTCCTTATTAACTATTCAATCATACTTTCATTGTCACAGTAATCCGTAGTCTTAATCCACTTTCTGTTAGGAACACCTCGTAATGCATGTGGAAAGTGCTTAGAGTTATTCCATCAGTCACGTATTTATCAAATTTGTAGTCTGAAGATCTTGCTTCAAGCTGGAGGGATATTAGGAGAAATCCTTCAAGCCACTTAGAAGTAGCTGTGCAAGAGAAAAATGATAGTTATGCAATATTATATCCATGCTCCAAGCAAGACTGTATCTCCAGTTTTTGCTATGCAGGTGTGAGTGGTAACCTCACAGTCCAGTCTCTATCTTGATAATAGTCTGCTTGTTTTGTAAATCTTTTCACAAACGTTTCAAGAAATCGATAAAGGTAGTAGTTGTATTGTCTCTGCAGATTTGTTCTGTTACCATTTTGTCTTTGATTTTATTTTTCATGTTCCCCCATTTGCATCCATTCTTGCGCACCCCCTTCCTAGCAGGTTCCAACCTAACTGCACTACACGCGAATGTTGGTCCGCCCCTTCCAAATGATTAGATTTGTGACGGATCCGAAATGGATTGAGACAGCCAGATTGCTGCACATTCAACTCCGCAGGACCTGTCTCCAAACCAATCAACGGAACAAAGCCAGTGGTAATGACTTCTCGAAAAGCGATGCTACCAAACACAGCCCGGCTAATGCACCCGTCCCTTTCGATTGACTCTTGATTATTTTGTCTGAGTGAAACGTCTAAATTTTTCCAGTTGTAGAAGTCCCAATCCCCCAAGCTGGAAATTTCTTGCGGCAGCGAGGTAGATTTTATGCATGCACACTTCTAATCTAATGCTGATGCGTGCAGACAGCCCTTGGACAGCAACGCTTGTTTGACAAACCTTACAGCGCTGATGGAATTTAGCTTTACTGGTCCGTTGGGAGTGTAACTGCTCCTAGCAGCGTGAAGATTTGTGCTGCCCAGGACTAGCTGACCCGCCGTAATGGTGCCCATCGCGCCGGCACCCGGCTAGATCCCACAGTCAGGCCGGTAACGACCGCCTAGGGTCTGCAACACATGAAGAACCATGTAACACCTGCGTGCAGCCGGGGAGCCTTTGCCCACGTTATAAATACAAAATTAGATGTGACTTACTGCACTGAGGGAGGCAAATGGTGGGGAAAATGAACAGTTTGTCACGCGTAGGAATTTCCCAGGGATTAGACCGCCCAGATTTTGTGCCAACGTGGAATTAAAATTTTGTGTCTTTCAGAGTAAGGAGACCGTTAGAACAACCCTGCGTAGATCATTGTCAGTGTCTGCTAGCCATAAAATAAATTTCACTTTTTATGGTTCGGGACTCCTGTGTTGAATCCTAGATAATCATGAAATTGTCATATTCTATTCCAACAAGGTTCAAGTTACTCTACATTAAAATGATCACACGCTGACATCTGTCTGCATGTGAAGCATGTATATTGTTGTGATGTATCTCCAAAACGTGTTTCTCCAATCGCGAGTGAGCAGCAAAATTGATGTGGCCTTCATGTAAATCCAATCAACACCTACATCGTATGTTGACAAATCGGAGATAGTTGGCAATGAAAGCAATAATTTCTACCCTACCAGGAGCGAATTTTGGCAGGAAGAGTCCACTTCTCCCGGAAGGAGGGGGGGTAAAAATATCCTCATTACTCATTGATTAGATGGAGAGGAAAAATCATTACATATTGATTTGGCCCAGTCCTAGCATGTTGCATCTCACACCAAAGGATCAGCGTTATCCCTGCTTTATTAAGGAGAGATCGAAGCAGCCGACTTGTGGCATTTGCCTTTTACATTTGCCCATTGATTACTGTGGTGCCCCCCTCCCGCCTTCATTAGTAGTGGTAGCTGTTGATCTCTTTGGTTGTGATCACAGCCCATGCACTTCAGAAACAGGACGTGGCTATTGATCTGGCCAGAAAGTCCTGTTTGGGAGGACTGTTTTTGGCAGCCATGATATTTTGCACCAACATTCCATCTTGTTCCTTGGCGCTATTCCAAATACGAGAAAACTACAGGTGTGGTAACAACAGCTGGGCGTGTCATCGCAAAAACACAGGATACGCTTTGATAATGTAAAATGCCTCCGGCCACGTACATTTCAAACAGCGATCATAACGCGATGGAAGATATAATTCACAGTGTGATGAATTTGCAAAAGAGCTAACTGCTAATGTATACTGTGAATATTTTACGATGTACAGTAAAACGACCAGTGATTTTCATCTGCCAAGTCCACGTTCAATGTGACTGTAGCCTTGTCACTGAAGAATCTGACCAAGTGTAGCAAGCACATCTGTTCAGCAAAGTCTCCATCATAGCACCCTAGAGCTTCCCTGTGTACTATTTATTGCCTAGACGTTTTATTACCTGAATGTTGACAGGAACACTAGTTTGTCAAATAAATTCAGGGCAAATATGTCATTATATCTTGTGGAGGCAAGCTTGTCAGACTTACAAATGTAGAAATAGTCTTGGGAAATGAACTCAAATATGTAACACAACAATAGCACATTCTATAGTCTTTTGTGTAAAGTGTACTCAAGGAATTTCACACGATATATTCTTGAGTATTGCGTTTTCATCAAAGGAGGCTTATGGGTGTGGAATCAGCGCAGTGGTGTGGTGGAACTAAGCCCGACTTTGCCGATGAAAATCTCATGAATCACGCCTGCAAGAGCACCTTCTCTGAAGGTCAGCATCATCGCCAAGGTGAAGCAGATTGATAGGACCTTCATCCCTGGAAAATTCTCCCTGCCATTCTCTAACGCTCGCCGCCAGGATTATGAATCTCAGATCGGAATTCTTGAGAGCCGAGAGCTCTTACAGGCAGAGGCAAATCCCCGGCAATCCATCACAACAGCGTCAGTTAGACGGCAGGTTTGACTGCGCCCGAGCTTCCACGCATGCAGACATCCCCGCAATTGCCTCCACTACCACCTTCTAAATGGGAGGAGATTATGGAGACGTCAGCCATCACAATTTGTCAGCAGCGGTCGGATGCTGGGGTGCCATCTAGACACTGCCGCACCCCATCATCAAAGTGGTTTGCGGAAATACTATGATCCGGAGGTACAGGCGCGGTTTTAGTGGATGAGGACGAGGAACGTCGCTGAGTCGAGAGCCTTGAAGGACCGATGGCTGCGGAAAGAACGTAATGGAAATTTCTGCACACTTGCCGAGTTGAACAAATTGTAACCAATCTTTGGATTTTTGTATTGATAATCTATGATCCAAGAATTACTTCTGTATTATTACAACTAGTGTGTCCATATCCATTGATGTTTGACCTAACTTTCTGTCACTATCACCCACATGCTTGGAAAAGCAGATATACTGAAAACAAAACCACAGTATTTTGGGGTCGAAGATTGACTTGATCAGTAGCAAGTTTGAAACTTCCATAACAAAACTCTGCTTGGAGAGTAAAAGGTCAATAGTATAGAATGATGGGTTTACTCTCAAGTTGTCTTGAAACAATTAACAAATGTGTAGTTGGTGGCCTGAGACTTTGCTACCTGTAGGGAGTTTAATAGCACAGCTGCTGGACGTTTCCAAGCTTTATCTGCACCAGTGTTTTCTGAGGTAACACTGGGTTAGGGGAGGTTAGATTCCCTGTCTGTCATTATCAAAGCCAAGCCTGGTTTTCCACTTTGTTGTATGCCCCCATCCCATCTACCTTGGAATGGGTTAAGCACTTTAGGACTAGGACCTCTTCCATTACAGAGTAGCAGGTAAACGTTAAAGGTCCCATGGCCTTTTTGAGGCAGAGCCAATCCCTCTCAATGGAAGTCTGAGGTACCCTTTTACACCTGAGTGGTAAAGTGCCTTTCCCAAGGACACACCTCTCCATCCCTCGTCTGCTGTAGTGCTAGCCAAACCGCACTGCAGTCGACGCCACTAGAGTCAGATGCCATGAAAATAACAGTAATCAAAATACGTGGAAGAGTAGTGCACTTTGGACCAGGCACTGTCTCAAGAAAGCTCCTGGGTTGCCAAATCATTCTCCTTTTCAAATTAGGTAAAGAAATATGTCTGTGGGTCCAGACAGTGTACACGGCAAAGATTGGAAACACCTGCAGTGTTGGTTGGAGGCCAGGTTTGTCCTAGATTGCTGACTTTGAAGTTGATGAATAAGTTTGAATTGAGGACCAGCCAGGTCTACTGCATGCAGGTTTCGAAATATTGTGAGCGGTATGTGGAGAAAGTGGTGTAATACCCAATTGAATTACAATCTCCTACACAGTTTATTTATTCTTGAAAACCCGAAATCCTTTTTTGGGAGTCTGATATCTCTTAATCTCTTGCTGACTGGAGTTTTAGCTGGGACTTACACCTGGATGGAGGAAAACCCTCCCACTAATTTTGTAAGCTGTTTGAAGGATGGCTCAATAAACTGTGTAAACGACCCGCTCTGCTGCGACTTGACCCCTGCCCCGCGAAAAATGAGCAGGGAAATTGGAAAGGAAAAGTAATTCATTCAAATCCTACCTCTGTCCCGTACACATCCCTAGCTTTTCCTCTGGGGTTTTTAGAAGATAAGTGGTTGTGGTCGGAGGACTTTGATCACAGTTTGGCTGTCACTCTCCTGAGCTTTGGGCTGGTACTCATCAACTCAAGTCTCCTCTCTGAGAAAAATCACAAGAAAGCAGTTGATTTGCAGAATTATTGCTGTATTGATCTTTCCGTGCCCTTTTTAATTTTTGGAAGATGGTGGAAAAGGCTAGTGCTCACCGGAGGAGCACATATTATTCAGCAGCAAGCTTGTGGAACGAATGCACCAATCCAGTTTACAGTTTACCTTGCCTGAAGGTATATTGGTTTGCTCCCAGTACATTGTCAGAGTGAACATCCCCACATATTACCTGGGTGGTCAGTGTAGATTGCCATGACCAAGTTTAATTTCCACTGGGAAGCTTCTTGGTATGTCCATGAAAAAGGTCTTGAGTGGGCCACATCTTTGCAATTGGGATCCTGACAGACCCCCCTAGGCTAGGGCAAGCCCTGGAGCTACACATTTAGTTATAGTCTTTGCATGAAGGTCAAAGCATTAAAGGTCTGAGACATGCGTGGATGGGAAATTCATTGTGTTAATTGTCTTGGTTTGCATGAGGAGTTGTCCTCCTGAATAAAGAACCTAGAGGTATTCCCTAACCAATCCTCAAGTACTCCACATACTCTTAAAGCACTGCTTTTAAAATTGATTCCTTCTACTTAACCATGCCCAAGTTTAAGGTCGGAGCAGTGAAGGCTTTGGAAAATCCTATACACTGATCCATCATTATCGATCGCTGGGGAATGAACATGTAAATGTTTAAGGAACGCTTGTGCAACTAATGCACCAGCTCCGGGATATGTCATACATTGTTGCTTCTAGATATGGTCGAATTACAGGTATAAGTCTCAAAGAAAGACAAAGTCAACTTGGCTATAAATATTGATGCGATGTGCCACAAAGGTTATTGATTGGGTTTTGTCCTTAACATTTATTTGCTTGTATTCCCCAGGTCCTGGCAAAGCCCGTCCATACACTGGATGGAAGGAACATCGATCCCAAGATCGCAAAGGCACGTGGGGGCAAGGAACCCATCAAGAAGATCTTTGTTGGGGGCCTGAACCCAGACTACCCAGACGAGGACCTGAAAGCCTATTTCTCTAAGTTTGGAGAGGTGAGAATGAAAGAACACACTAACCACACCAGTACTGCAGTTGGTAACAGAAATGGCTTGTAGTTTATCAACATAAGTGTTTTGTTAACTTGAATTAAGTTCTGTTGTAGCATTCACAGTTTTTGGTTTGCTGTTTTCTGTTATTTGATCACCCACCAGCACAAGAGTATCATGGCATGTTGCTGTGTAATACTTTGTATTTTGGAGTTGCATCTGAAAGCACATATTTCTTGTGGAATATAAACGGTGCAACATACAAAGTTAAGAAAACGTTAATTTGGAGAGTTAAGAAAACGTTTGTTTGCAAGAAACTGCTCATTTGGCTAACAAGGACAGGACCCCACAAGTGGCACAAATGACTGCCTGATAATAAATAATATAACTTGTTCCTCATTATCATAGAAAACACGCTTCTTTTCATTTTTCAGTGATAGCAAGTTGTAAGTTGCTAAAGGCACATTTAAAATCCTTCATTTTTGTTCTATTTGGAGACATTGGTGCCAGGCAAGACATTTTCAGACAATATGAAGCTTTTAACCTAGACAACAAAACATTACACTGGTGTATTGACAACAAAGATGGCACACACAAAAAAGAAAGAAAAAACAAGAAACAGAACGTTAGACAGTAAATGGCTGCAGGCTCTGCCCTTGTGCGGTCCTTAATGAGTTGCCGTAAGCTGTCTAATATCGTGAAGCGAGTCCTTAGAGAAGCGGAGGTTCTTGCTGGGCATCAGGTGCTGATGTGTTATCCCCTCTCCATCAGGTGCCCAGGGAAGGGAGGAAAAGTCGCACCTGCACCAGCCACCCCGACTCCAGGTGCTGGTAACATCCAGCATGGTGTGCCAACTTTATCTTTCCCAGAAATCAAAAAAACTCTTATGATTTTTCTCTATCAGTTTTTTATCTGTTTTCAATTAGGTGAAGGAATGTAGCTTCCTTTTAATACCTTGGTGGTTTCCTTCCAGTTTGATAACACACTGTAGGCAAAGTAGACTTGCACATGCTGATCCAATAAGCATAATTGTATCTATGTATGATATGTATCTATCATTCTTCATATATGCTTATATTGATAAACTGTATTGTATTCCAGCATTAATTCATATCTGCGGCCAGAGATTGCTGAATAATTGTAGTGGAGCACGTACAAGTCCCATCTGAAATGCAACTGTCTTGTCTCTTCATTGTGTGTAAACGGTCCCCACGTCGCGTGTGTGTGCGATCACTAATGTGCTGACGTTACGGAATGTTTCGCCAGATCAAGGAGCTAGTCCGCCCCAAGGACAAGGGCACCCAGAAGTACCGCGGGTTCTGCTTCATCACATTCGACTCTGAGAAGATCGTGGACACCATCACGCAGACACAGTGGCACACCCTGGGCTCACACCAGGTCGGCACTGAGATGTCCGAAGTTACGGTAATGCTCGCAATGCTTGCTTATAGGGAGATGGGGGGTGAGTTTTGTAGGTGACTTGCTGGTAGCAGCTTTGCCTAACATGCTGTGGGCAACTTTTGTCTTCTCCGTGATTCAAACTTCAGGACGTTCAACCGTTTAAAATGACGTTGTCCTTGTTACATTACAACCTCCTATTTCGATAAATTTACAGCTTTGTACGATTTCGTTGTCAAATTTTTAAATAGACTATGACAAAACCAAACATTGACAGCCCTTTCCATAACAAGACATGAGAATTTTAACAACCCATGTACGACTAACCCAGAAATGCCACCAGTCTGCAACCATCACATGACAGATCACACTGATGTAGTCTGACCATCATACCATTGTTAAGTGTTGACCATTGTAAAGTGTTGAACATTGTCTTCTTGTCTTCTGCAGTGTGAAGTGAAGAAAGCCACCCCCATGCAGGATAACACCAAGAACCAGTGGGGAGGAGGTGGTGGTTACGGTTATAGAGGTGCGCAGGGGAGATTTTTCTTTGATCAGTTTTGCCCCTTTGTCCTTTCCTTTGTTTAACCTTCCTGATAAATCTAGCTTTCTTGTGTAGAATGTTTTGTAATGTGTAGTGCAAAACCTCAGAAATTGTTCCTGTTGCTCATAGTTAATCTGTGGAAGTCAAAGCAAAGTCAAGTTCAACTCAATTTAGCAATACAATACAATACATTGCACTGATTTTCAGGTAGCATGACTGATCTATGAATGTCAGCAAAGTACAATACATAAATGATCGCAGAATTTATAACTGCTGTAGTTTCTAACGAATAGATAATAGAAAGTGATCTGACATAATTTTTTCTTTCAGGGGGAAACAACTGGGGCCAACAGCAGGGTGGTTACGGATATGGGTACCCATACCAGGCCTACGGAGGCCAGGGCTATGGCGGCTACGGAGGTGGCAACTATGGCCAGGGGTATGGATACGCAGGGGGTTACGGAAGCTACTATGACTACTACCCACCCAACTACGGATACGGTGAGTACAATTGAATGGGGCAGGGGTTCATGATGCAACTGTCAGTGAAATCTGAAGGGATGTAAAGTTGTCAAGAAGGAAAAGAAGATGTTTTAAAGAGATAGTTTACCCCTGAGGATTTTCATTGATGGTTGCAGAAAGGGGAACATAACTTTTTGTGTGTGCTTTCGATATGTCATTAGTCAGTAGAAGTTCCTCTGTAATCGACTCTATTCTGTACTAGCCAAATTGTCCTGATTTTTTTAAAAAGGTTTGTTTTGTTTGAAGACTAACAAATTTTGTTGTGTGTCTCTCATTTGTGTGTGCTGTGAGTCCAAGATAGTCCAGTGTGGTGTGTGTTAAAAAGTGAAGTGAAGCTAAATTGTGCTGTGGTGGGTGTGGCTTAACCAAACAGGGGCAGTCCATCAGTGGTGTGTAACAGCAGCAGTAGAGCTAGACGTAGCCGTAGACTGGTAGAAAGTAGACGCTAACAACAGCAAAACAACAACACTGTCTGGCATGCGAGGTGTTGTAGCCGAAAAGCCATCCCGGGTGACGAGGTTAGTAGGAGAAGGTGGGAAAGATTTTGACATGTGTATGCTATGTCAACAATGTGCTCTCATGATGTTGTTGCAGGGGGCCAACAGTATGGCAAAGCACCCGCCAGGAAGGGCCACGTGGCTTCCTACCACCCGTACGCCCCTCGCTAGTCCCCTGTCTGCATCGTAGGCTCCTGCGGAGGTAATGGGCTTCCCCTTGTGTCACGTAGTCGTGCTTGTGTATAAACTTCACTGTTGTCAAGTTCATTTCAGGGTAAAGCGTGTGTCAGCTTCCACTCTAGAGCCTGCAGTATATGGCTTGCATGGAGTAGGTCTATGGAAATAATGCATTAAATAGCACCTTTTTTCCCAGTAAAGGCTGTAAAATTGTCTTTGCCAGTGAAGCACCCAAGTAACTTGCAGACCTAAGAGTGAGTCAAGTAAAAGTTCTTCCACATGCAAGCTGCAACGTCATATTAACACCACCAGTTTAGACAACAGACTTGACAATGGCCCTCCGTCTCAAACAAAGCAATGTATCCCATGGTGCATTGCATTTTCATGACTTGTCATCTGTTTCAATCCCAACATCCTTAGCTGTGCCAAAATTGCGGATGCCAGACCGCCACGGCTTGCACTCAAATCTCACCAAGGTGAAATTGGTATGACTGCTTTGTGCTTCCAACGTTTTCTCCAGTAAAGGTTGTTTCCTTGTAAATATAAAAGGCCGCAGCTGTAAACAATTGTATATCTTTGGCAAATGGTTTTGTTTCTCTTAATATTTAAAGGTGTATTTTTCTTTGTAATAGGTGGAATGCAGAGGAACTTCTAACTGTAAAAGTGACTGATAACCTAACGAAGTGTATTTTTTCTAGCTGTAACCTATAGTGTGTGCTTGCTATGTATATTACTGAATATCTTTCTGTGCCTTGGGACTCCCAAGGATATCATGATAATAATGAAGTTCAATGGCATGTGCTTTTGTTCCTTTCCTTATAGCCATGTGAGTATTGTGCCACTCCATGATCTTGTCTCTGCCACCTCAGTAACGCAGCAGTCTTGAGGTTGTGTTCCTCCCTTCTTGGAAAGGTTCTTGACAAGCCACCAAAAATCACTCCTTTCAAATCTGTGTCTGAGAAAACAGCCGCAAAAAATCAATCTTTTGATGTGTGATGGAATTGCTGATCAGGCTTCCCAGCCTAGATTTTTGAATTTGTGTTAACATTTTGATGATAATGATTTCCTGACAATCATAAATAAGGAAGAGAATCTTTCCAGCCCTTCTTGTTCACCCAAACAGAACCTGTGTAAAGGGGAAATCTCGACTTCTAGCACTTGGTGAAGCATGTCTGCACTTTTGGTCCTTCCTGTCTCTGCCTTACTTTCAATCATATATTGTATAGCTGCCACCAGGTTTTGTAATTCCATGGCTCCATCTGTAACCACCAAGGGTATGATACCACTATGTCTGATTGAAAGAAAGGACTCTTTCTTGGTTAACCCCTGTTTAAGGGTTCTCCCTTCCCAGTAATGTTGCTTGATTGCATTAGCTCGACCCTTACTCTTGTCCAATTTCCCCCGACAACTCCTCCCATGCCTTCACACTGCTGCGATGTCCTTTGGTCGGCAGAGTCAGCCGTCAATCATATGAAACGTTTTCACCGTCCGTTTGTACCTTCTGCAGGAGTGAGAGAAGAGAGGGAGTGAAAGAGAAGGGGAGGGGAGAGGGAGAGAGAGAGAGGAGAAAAGACATGCCTCATTTCCTTTACAACTTGCAACAGACGTTCCTTCTGATACAAGTCTGCTGGGAGCAAATTTGTGTCCACCTCGATGGTGCAGAACTCATCCTCGACGTACCAAGACTCCACATGGACTCAACGTCACGATCGCCCGTTCCTTTTATATTACCCAATCATTTCCTTTCTCTTTGGTAATTTCTTGTCGTAAGTTGTTGAGTATTTTATGCCCTGAGAGGTACGCCTTACTGAATAAATAAAGTGTAAATGTGTTGAAGTTTTATCTTGTTCTAGCAGTAAATGTCGGTTGTCCTGTCTGCACTTGTAAATTCGGCTGCTAACTTCAATATTGCTTCGTGTCTGCCACGTGCAATATATTTTTCCAGAAGAAAGTTACCATGTAGTTTAAAAAGCATTTCTTTCCATTAATTAACAAGGACTATTTTCCAAAGAACTTCCACTAATTATTAAAAGTAAAAGAAATCCCTAGGTAAATTTTTTTCGTCATACGTAGTGCTAACACGGAAGACAATTTTCTACATCATGGACAACATCGGAGAAATAAAACATTTTTGAAATATGTGGTGGTCTCGACCTCCTTTCAGGGTTGCTTTGACCAAAATGATTTGTCTCGCAACACCACAAGAGGCACACTGATACTTACCCTTGACTATTGGTAGAAAAAGGGCATCGCAACATCAGTTTAGAGGAAGCTAGCACAGAGAAGTGATGCTAGGGTTTTAATGCTGGTTTGACAACTTACTAAAACAAGTCAAGTGAACAGTATCAACATACATATGAAAACAACATTTCAACTATATGAGGATTGAGAATTTCTTCAAGCCTCCGTCCCACTGTCAACGACTTGGGTTGAATTTGTTCATTGCCAGAAGGGCCATCTATTAAAGCAATCACCTACTACACCTAGCGATAGACATTTGCAGTGTTGCTGCTGAAAATATCACCTGGAGGGCTCTTTTCCTGCTCCGTGATGCCAGCAATGAGACCAATGGTCGAGAAGAAAAAGCAGAGTCAAAATTCTCAACGCAACAGCTATCAAGTCACAAAATATACTTGGTAAAATGGGCAAGTTCTCACAAATTGTGTGTTAACGAAATAAAAACGTTCAGTGGTGTTGCATATGGTACCATAGATCATACTTCAGGCCAGGATACATAGCTACCTTTGAAAATATGTCCTTGTTATTACGTTTAGCCAAACTTGGCAAGGGAAGTATGGTTGAAAGTTTTCTTGTTTATTTTGTCTTCTTCGCTTTGCAGTACAGAGTGAAATGTAATTTACAGGGCAGTATTGAATGATACTTTGCACATGATAGCAATTTTGTTGACAGGAAGTTTGAATTTGACAACAGTGAGTTCCACCCTTTTTTTTTAGAGTGACTAGCATATTATTCAGATAAGAGTCTGTAAAGCCAACAAATTATAAATTTTCTGGGAATTAAGGAAATTACAGACCCACTCGCACACATACATGCACTTACTGTAGATAAGGAGAAAGTGTGTTACATAATAAACTAACCGCTTGTTATACTTATTTTGTTTTTAACGTTCTCTTCATATGCTGTAACTGTAGTTGCTACAGAGCATGGCTAAGCAATATTGAATAAAGGTTACTGTGTCACTAGTTTAAATAGATTGTCAAGTGTTCTCAAAGTTTTCCTTTTAAGAGTTCTTTCTTCTATTCCATGGCCATATTTGGAAGTTAGAGGAAAACTTAGTGACAACAGGTTGTAATATTGCCAACTGGAACAAATCACACTGCCAGCCCCTTGGAGTGACGACCACATTTGAAGACAGACGTACATTTGACCTCAAGTTCAGACGAGGCATTTTAAAGGCCTGAAGAAGTAGCTCTGAAACGCAGACCATGTGTGGCAAATCTACGAACGTGTTCTCCAAGTGCTAGTATGTGTCAAAGCCAATTGGATGACATGCAGCCAATTTAATTGTTAGAACCGTTATTTGCTATGCTACCATTGGTTGAGCTACCAACCCATAATTTACCTTTATTTGTTAGTAGTTCTGTGTCATGGTCAAAGTGTTGTAGATGATTATTCTCCAAGCAGATCCTCGAGCCTCAATAACAGAATGGTGACGGTTTCTGACTGGCACCCAAGTTCTGACATCAAAATTAAACGGGGTCAAATCGGGTAACAGTTTCCCCATCCAACCTGTGGATGGTGAGTAGTGAAAGATCGTAGCTACACAGTAGAGACATCACGCACGTAGTTCAAGGTGTACCACCTTTGTGAAACGATCGTGAGACTTTGGAGTGTGTTTGTGACCCGTAGTTGAGTGAAAAAAGACGTCCCCACTGAGATCCCCCGCCACTCTGACCGAGGTGGTCTCTGGGACTGAACTTTTGTCATCCCGAAAATGAGTTGAGGACGCCCAGGTGACACCGGCTGATAAGACGGTATCTGTAACACGTGCGGGTTAACAAGGAGGACTGATGAAACCAGCCTAGACGTGCCACGACGTGACGTACTGTAAACTGGGGTGGCCAAGCTTTAGGCCCTGTTCAGACGAAACTGGTGGAATCGCGATTTGGGTAAATCGCATTCCTCACATCTGGTCCACGTTCCTTCGGAATCGTGTCCAAGCACGATTTGGCTAAATTACAATCAATTGCTACAATGAAGACGCTCTATCAACTACCTGTACAATCTGTGGTGAAGCTCGTCCTAGAACTAAAATGGGCACATTATTCCTTCATTACTCTTCTCAAGTTGCTGCCGCGTACTTTTGGTATTGCATGTAAATAACACCCCGTAATCTATGACCTGGTCAATATGTTAAGTACTAGTAAACCGGTGAAGTCACATTGCGTCCAGACTTCGAAGTCGGAATGCGTTGAAGCCGGTTCGAAACTACCTCCCGAGGGGGTTTGGGATCGTAGCGTTTTCAAACGAGATTTGGAGCGTTCGGATGGGGCCACTTGAATCCGGCTTCGGTGAAAACCAAAATGCGCTTTCACCGCTTTCGTCTGATCAGGGCTTTAGTTACGACTACAATGTATGTTCATGGTGCGATAAATTCTCTCCGAATATTACAGTTGATACTACTTCATTTTATAAAATGTAAGCATTAGTATTGGTGGGCGTCCGATTGGCAGGTACCGGTCTCCACCAAATCCGATGAAAGTCTCTTTTTATAGCCTTAGACCAGTTGTACGACGTGTCAATGTTAGGGCATAAAGTCAGGTGTGGGTAGAATCATCTGCTCCTAGGCCCACGTATATTCCGTTTAATAGCACTTGATGCTTCCTGTTAGGGTAAATCCTAAGTGCGCCCGATTTTAGTGCAAGGGTAAGGCAGGAGATCACCTGTAAGTGGATGGGAATTACACGGCAAAGCCGGAGTAGTGGCAATACCTGGAAAGAACAAAGCTTTGGCCTTAGACCTAACAGTTATGACATTTACTGCGCAGGGCCAGAATTGACGGACGTTTATCGATGATTGAACGTAAATGCTCGAAAGGATTGGATGAAAAGTCGGTGATTTTTTTCCGTTTTGTGTGTGTGTGTGTGTGTGTCCTTTTGCAAACTTTAGATCAAAATAACCAGCTTAGGATCTTGAAAACACTTGAAAACCAACATGACTCCGTTCAAGTTCAGAATATATATTTTTGTTGTTGTTGTTATTCATTTCATGTAATGATAACAAGTGGTTACACAGACGAGGTCTATTCTTGGCATGTACCGCCACAGGTTGGGAACTAGGTACGACGTGTGGATGACGTAGTGTTGTGGAGATATTTCATGGCTTGTTGACAGTCACAAATCGTGTATGACGAAACCGTGACATGCGCCATGAATCAGCACACATCGCTACCCTGCGGGTGTCTGCCGTGTGTCTAGGCAGTTACACGCCTCAGGCACTGGTCTGTGTGCCGTCAGGCCGAATACTACAGCCCACTAAATCCTCGGTTGTCTCTCCCCTTGACCATGGACCACATCAGGACAGTCTGTCGCTGTTTAACCTTTAGGCCACAGCAAGTAAAGTTTATGGATCACATCCTCCACAGACTCCAAATCTAATACGATAGGGCGAAAAAAAGCCAACAAAACTAGAAAGGCCAATATTTGCTTTGGAGCAAATACAGCGATGGGTTCACCACATTTTACCACATGGCAGGGAAAGAATGAGAAACACAAGGGAAAACAATGATTTAGTAGTAAATTACATTGATATAACTATAATATGAAGTAACATACAACTAAAACAACAGTTGGATAGCTATTCCCTACTTTATTGGTTAGGATTTTTAATTGCATAATGCAAACTGTTGATTTTCAAAATAAAATAAAAAACGTTCATGCCCCGCATTCCAATGCTGGAGCAGAAAAGCTTGAAATACCTACCAAAACACTTGAATAAAGACATACTGTCAGTATGGAAATGCTCTGTGCAGGTGTTAATCAAGTTAAATCCCAACAGCCAATCAGCAAGAAATGCTCTGTGCAGGTGGAAATGCTCTGTGCGGGTGTTAATCAAGTTAAATCCCAACAGCCAATCAGCAAGAAGTATAGAGGAAAGCTGCATGCCTATTGGTTGATGCCCTGCATTCCATTGTGATGACTCATGCCCACGTGGTAAACACGGCACACTAACACAGTAATACATTTGCTATAACACAGCCAAAAACTCAAATAAAACCATTCTAAAAGCCTGTATCACAAAATTTAAAAACGCCTAGGGGTATTTGCCCACTGTACCTCCATACCAAATTTCAGGACCTTAGGCCCTAAAATGAAGAAGCTGAATCCATTTAAAGATATGGCAGGAGGAGGAGGAGAAGAAACATCAGAAAAAGCAATATGGGTTCACCACCACTTCGTGGTGTGGTGAACCCATAAAAAAAGATTTCTATATTTTCAAATTTTGAGATCATATAAACCATCATACTTGCTCTGGCCTTAGCATCCATATCACCCAATATTCATATAAAATGACCTCCGATCATTGAGCACCAATGAAATATGCAGTTTCTTTATTAATTATGCAAATTAAGTCATAATTTACATAACTTCCGTCCAATTACTTGCTGAGCTATATACATATCTTTACACCCTGAAATTGTAAGAACTCCCAAAGTTTGCACTGACAAAAAACGTCCCTGCAGTTCCGAAAGAAGCTGCCAGGAGGCTGAAACCTACACCACACAATGCATTATCATATTATTTTATTATCTGGCTGATCTTACACTGATGACTAACTTCAACTGCGTACTGTTTACATTGTAAGTATCCCTGGCAAACCAAAGGGAACTACTTGACTGATCTGTAATCGAACCATGCCATGTGATTGGTCAGTTTCTGACTATACCATAATGATATGTGTCGTACCATTGGTCAGGTTCTAACCAATCAGCACATCCCCTTCGACCCCGATTTTTTTGTCTAAACATACTATAATTGATTGAATGAAGGAGTCAGCGCTGGTGACCAATGAATGGAACACGTTAACAAGAGAAACTGTCAAAAGTAAAAAAAAGTGAATATTATTTTAACAATAATTCTTTTCGTCGTGTGATCCTACAGCTGAATGATGACGAGGATAT